GCCCGGTCCCGGGCGGGCCGCGCGCGAGGCAGCAGCCGGCGTTTCCCTCTCACATCGACTTTTCTCTCCCCCCCTTCCTCTGTCTCTCAATATCAATTTTTTAAAATATCTTAAAAAAAAGAATTAGCACATTACCAATATGTGTATCTACCTGTGTACCCTATGCTCTGCCATCCTGCTGCCTCCCTCCCACAGGTCACTAACGGTATCCTACATTTTTTGTTTGTCATTCCCTTGATTTTTTTTAATGCTTGTATTACATATACATGATAAACAATATTAATTAGTTCTGCTTGCTTATGAACGATATAAACTTATATATGCTATATTTTTAACTCATAAGTGCATGATAACATTAGTTATTTTCTAACGGGAAATTTATTCTATCATTTTGCCAGAAACAAACACCACATGTTTTCTTCAGAGTTACTGTTACTATATATGCACTCACTTGATCATTACCGCGTGCCAAGTTTTGTGCTTATTTAGATATGAATAAGATATGCCCCGCCTTCAAGGTCGTAAGTATATAATTTCAGTATAGCATGACAAGTATTAAGATAGAGATAGACCCAAAGTTTTCTTCCTCCCCCACGTGCATTTTGATGGGGAGCAGGAAGAGAAGTGATATTCCAAAGTTAAATGGTTAAGAGCAGTAATTGTATTTGAATAAGGTCCTAGATAAAACCCTCATCTAGGATTCTGTTGATTAATAGTGATAGTGATGATGCGAACGCTCATGATGTGCTGGTGTTTATACCTAGTAATTCAAACCCAATATGCAATGGCACCTTTCTTTTCTTTTTTTAATTAAAAAAAATTTTTTTTTAATTTGTTGATTTTTAGAGAGAGCAAGGAAGGGAGAGAGAGAGAAGCATCCCCTTGTTCCACTTATTGATGAACCATTGGTTGATTCTCGTATGTGTGCTGACCAGGGATCAGACCCGCAACCTTGGCGTATCCGGATGACACTCCACCCAGCTGAGCTACCTGGCCAGGGTGCAGTGGCACCCATCTTAAGCCAATGTGAATTCATTTGAAAAATTTAGATGCTGTTTCTTATTAGAAGGAACCAGAGACGATTAGTCTCCTTTAAATTAGAGCTTTTTAAAAACACTTATAACATGAAAGGCACAAAGAGTTTAAATTAAAAGAAGAAACAACTGACAATCCAGAGGTCACCGACTTTGACCTATCTTGCTTTTTCCAGGATGGGGAAATGGTGCTGCTGGATGGAGGTTGTGAATTTTCTTGCTATGTGAGTGACATCACCCGTACCTGGCCTGTCAATGGCAGGTAAGTCTTCTACAGATCCCATGGCTTCTTTGGAGTATGGTTATATTTGGGATAAATGGTTAAAGAGATAAACAGGTCCCCTCTAGCTCAGGTTAACTGCCTTTGCAAAGCTCTTGATTATTTTTTAAGACTGTTTTATTCATCATATCACAGGATCAGGCACCTAGAAAAACCTACATATCCACACATACATATATGTGTATACTGTATATGTGTGTATATGTATGTAGGTTGGTAGATTGATTGATTGATAATGATTGATTTCTTTAAGAAATTGACTCACACATTTGTAGGTCAGGCTGGAAACATAAAAGTTGATGTTGCAGTCTTAAGGCAGAATTCTTTCTCCAGTATAGCAAGGCAGTTCTAGTTTGAATTCATTTAGTATAGGATACCTATGGCCCATGTTTCAGCCAACCAACCAAACAAACTTTAGAGCCTTTTTGACCCCTTAAGCTGTAACATTGAATCCAGAATCTGCTTAGTGGACCCATATCAATAAATTTGGCCTGATCCAACTTTATGTTCCTCCCACCATTATCCTACACATTCCTGTCCATTTCCACACATAATCCTCAGGTTTTTGCCTGTATAAATAGGGAATCATGCAGTTCTTTTTGGATTGCCATGCACCTCCATGTGAGTTACACTTTGTACCTAACCTTTTGGAACCTGCTAGGAGTACAGTCTAGTTAAAAGTCCAGAGGCAAGTACCAAGGCAACTACCAAAGGAGAGATACCTGTTGGTTCTCAGTCAAAACTGGATTAATCTCAGATGGTGGTAGAAGGGCTGCTTCTACCGGCAAAGAAGACTCAGCAGAATTAAGGGTTCAGTGTCCCCAGCTTCATCAGGATCAGTCAGAATTGCATGGCTCAGGTTTCTGCATTCTACTGTATGTAAAATTTACATTTAAAAAAACTTTAAAAATATTTACTAGTACTGTGGCGTGGAGTATGGGTACAGACATAACAATATTGATAGTGGCTGAGCCTGGGAGTTGGGTTATGTAGGTGTTCATTATACCATTGTATTGTTATACTTAAATATTCTATTAGGGGACATTTAGATTCTATCATAATTATAAAAAACTTAACAGGGAACATTTTTGTACATTCAGCTTTTTAAAAATTTCAAATGTTTTCTTAGGATGGACTCTTAGAGCAGAAGTACAAGCTCAGCTTTTATGAGCATCTTTGAAGGCCTTTGATTTAATTGGCTGTACTCATTTACACTCCCATCAACAGTGCATGAAAATACATATCATATACCACCCCAGTTTAATTTTTTTCTCCTTATTTCCCCATGGTTGCTAAAGAAATTATTATTCTAAGGATACCTAGAAACTAGTAACTTACTAGTAATCAAAGTATCGACTAGTTTATCCCATGACATCTGCTTTGCCCATAAGAAGTGGATCCCTAAGCTTTTTTTTTTTTTTTAATGGTAAAAATGGAAAGGACCAAGAGGGACCTGGTCTGGCCCTCTGTCTGCATTCATGGCTGGGTGCACCCTCTAGCCTCACCTCATGTATATCTGCTGACCGTCTGAAGCACTGTTTCTGCCCTAGTGTGAAAGGTTATTGCTCTTCCTGTTGAGCACCTAGGATATGATTAAGGCCCTGTGAGTAGTGACGTGTTGGTACTGATTAAATATCTACAATGCCCCATTATCATTGCCTTGGAATTTCTCTAAATCAAACTTAGAAGCAAATGTTAAACAAAACATAACTCCACAGTGGAAAGTTTATTTGCTTGTTTGTTTTCTTTTAAATATATCCTTATTGATTTCAGAGAGAGGGATAGAAACATCAATGATGAGAGAGTCGTCATTGATCGGCTGCCTCCTGCACACCCCCGGCTGGGGATCAAGCCCACAACCTGGGCACCTGGGCAGGTGCCCTGACTGGGAATCGAACCGCGATCTCCTGGATCCTAGGTCGATGCTCAGCTGCTGAGCCACACTGGCCGGGCTGTTTGTGTTTTTAAAGAAAGGGTTTATTGGGCCATACTGCTAGCCAGCAAAGGATCAGGTCCTGGGGCATGAAGTTCGCCATTCTAGAGTTGATGGGCACTTTTACACATTATGTTTTGGGGAAGAATAACATAAGTTGTTTTGAAAAACCTTGACATTAGCTATGGATAAGGGAGGTGGGAAAAGGTGAAGGGGAGGCAGTTCTAGGATAGGAATGCAGCCTAGAGGAAGAAATATTTACTACTTTTGATTGGTTACAGGCAGCAGTCCTGGAAATTCATGCACATGCTGGATGCAGTGGTGGCTGGGAATTGGCTCATAGGCACCTGGGGGTTGATTCAGAGCTCCAGCATACATCCAAATATGAGCAGTCTTTTGTTAGCTGGCACAGAGCTATTAACTGGTTAACTATTCCTGTCCCTTCCTCTCACTCTCCAACCGCTGTAATTTGATTTATAACATCTCAGAATTTTTCTCTTGTCACAAACTTCCTGCAGTATCAGTTAATTCCAAATTCATGTTCTTTGGTTTTCCTGTCTGCAGGTTTACAGCAGCTCAGGCAGAACTCTACGAAGCTGTTCTAGAGATCCAGCGAGATTGTCTGACCCTCTGCTCCCCTGGAACAAGCTTGGAAAACATCTACAGCATGATGCTGACCCTGATAGGACAGAAGCTTAAAGAGCTGGGGATCATGAAGAACAGTAAGGAAAATAATGCCTTCAAGGTACCTCACTTCTTCTGACTCCACTTCTCAAGAACACCTTACATGCTGCTCGGTTTTTATGTAAAGCTAATTAGTTTAGAAATGGTCTTTGTGACCATTTATAAGGGACTTCCATTGAACTGGGATTACAACAAAGGGAGTCAGTACTTACTTCTCCCAGAAGGTGGCAGCACACTCTGGTCCATTGCATTCTGTATAACTAGTTCAGTCAGAAGACATAAAATGAAGTCTGGTGCGTACAAGGTGGAAAGTGACACAAAAAAGAGGAGAGATTAACTCTTAATTCTTTTGTGGTAATTTTGAAAAGGTAGAGGTCAAAGGGGAGGGTGTTTGTCACTTCAGTGATGTTGTTGAGACTTTAACAGTATCCTCAAGGGCATGTCTTTAGTGAATTTCATCTGCATCCAAAACGTAATGGTGTTTAGTAAAAATGTAAAGCCTCCTCTTTAAATTAAAATGCTGGGTGGTCAAGCCAAAGAGACCATTAAGGCATCTCCCATCTCTCAGGTTAGGCTGCCAGAGTTTCTTTTATCAATAGGAAAGAAGCTATAAATTCCTCTTGCTCAAGCCAGCAAATCTTTAATTAATGGATAGAAATATCAAGGCCAATAAATGCCTAATAATTGCTGTGTTATTTGATGTTTCAGCCTGCTCCACAAGTTGCTATAAGATACTTAGGGTCTGCAGAGTAGACTTCCTGAGACCGGTGTGTGGATGTTGAAAAGAGAGCTATTCTAACATAATCACCCTCCCTCCCCTAAGAAAAGAGATTTTCATTTGCCATAATCATTACTGGGGTTACCCAAGTCAGCATGTATGTGGGAGTGGAAATGTGGATTAGTTAGAATGTATTGGCAGAATTCATACGAAAGGTGGCAGTTGATCATTTCTCTTAAGCAGTAGCCCAAGGACAAGTTAAACATAGTGGCAGAGCCATGGGGGAGCTATTAACACATATCTCACTGATTTATACATTCCCAGTTTTCCCCTTAAGGGGCCAGTGTTCTAATGCTGTGGCAATTACCTTTTGCAGGCTGCTCGAAAATACTGCCCTCACCATGTTGGCCATTACCTCGGGATGGATGTCCATGACACTCCAGACATGCCCCGTTCCCTCCCACTACAGCCCGGCATGGTGATCACAGTGGAGCCAGGTAAGGAGGTGGGAGGTATTATCAGCCTCTGACCCCTTGGGACACATAATAGTAGTGTCAGATAGAAAGGTAAACATCATTTATTCTTACCTGAGCCAACATAATTAGGAGTGGGGGCAGAGAATGACTCCAGTGTAGAAGGGAACTTTATTTTTGGATTTTTCTTGAGCTTTGTTATTTAACATCACACAATTTGTTTAATTTGACTTCTCCAGTAAACAATAGAAGGGGACTACTCTTTATAAATAGATAATAAGAAGTACATCTTTATTAACCCTGCTTTGCCAGGGCCAATTTGTACTAGTCTCCAGGTAGTAGTGGTAGGCTGCTCATACTACTGAAGCCCACAGTGCTTTCCTGCAGAAAGACCTTCACACTCACTACATTCTTAGTTGCAACTCCACTGTAAACTGATTTGAACTGCCCACACTGCCCTACTTCTTAGTATCCAAGTCCTTTTTCCTAAGTTTCAGAGAAAGCTGGCAACGGTTCCTGGCTTGCGTGATGCTAGGCATTGGGCAGATTTCTTTTTTTCTTTTTAAAAAAATTTTTTTTCTTTTTTTTTTAACATTGATTTCAGAGAGAGGAAGGGGGGGAGAGAGAGAAACATCAATGATAAGAGAGAGTCATTGATCGGCTGCCTCCTGCACGCCCCCTACTGGCATTCGAGCCCGCAACCCTGGCATGTGCCTTGACTGGGACTGGAACCCTGACCTCCTGGTTCATGAATCCACACTCAACAACTGAGCCACGCCTGCTGGGCAGCATTGGGCAGATTTCAGCAGAAAAAGGCTGGCCATGGCGAGGGTGAAGATTGATATGACAGGAGTCAGTTTTTCAATAGTGATGCTGATTTTGTCATGAAAACAGATCTCATTCTTAGATTTCAAGTGTTTTCATCTCTAAATTCAGTGATTATAGCTGGGACACATCTTTCATACTACCCTTTGAACTCAGTCACACATTGCTACCTGGCCTTACGTGCCACTTAGTCCAGTCTAGTTGGTACATGGGCGCTTCCTTAGACTTGGCTACACCTTCCTTTGCTCATCTTTTCTTTTTGCCACAGAGCAGCAACGGTGAGTACAGGTGAGGAAGTTTACAGTTTCTTTAATGTGAAAAGACGTCTGTCTGGCTTCATGATTAGAAAGGGTACTTTGGGCTCTTAGAATTTTCCAAATGTTCATTAAAGTCTTCCTGTTTTTCTTACTTTACATCGTGTACATCAGTTACATTTATGGCTTATTTGAGTATTTCTGCAGCTTCTGGCTGATCAGGCTAATAGCCTCTAAATAAGTGTTTTTAAAATATATTTTAAAATACCTTATGTCTATTTTAGCAAAGTTCCCTTTTCCAGGGGACTATTAGGCAGAGAAAGAACACATTTATATGATCTATCAGTTCCCAGCATATACTGACATACTCACAGATTAAGTAACTTCAGTCCTCTGCTTGCGCCACTAGAATATGACAGAATCATAATCAGAATTACCATATGGAGCCTGTAGTCTAGTATACAAAATAGCTATAATAATAGTTCTAGTAATGACAGCCAGCATTTATTGACCATTACGTACCAGGTACCTTTATCTGTATTGTCTCATTTAATCCCTGTGACTCTAAGTAGATAGTGTTAAGGTCCCGGTTTTACAGGTGATTGTAACACAAAGAGGTTAACTTACATGCCCCAGATCGTCTGGTTACTGCCATTTGTGAATAGCCCCTTCTCGTTCCTGCATCTCAGGCATTTATATCCCAGAGGATGACAGAGAAGCGCCCGAGAAGCTTCGTGGTCTTGGGGTACGGATTGAGGATGACGTGGTGGTGACGCAGGACTCCCCTCTCATCCTTTCTGCAGACTGTCCCAAAGAGATTGGTGACATCGAGCAGATCTGCGGCAGGTCCTCTTGACCCTCATTGCAGCCCATGTGCCTCTCAGGTTCACGGGGCACCTGGGCACCTGAGCTTTCTGAGTGTTGTCTGTGCGGGTGCATCTATGTGCGTTTCACTTGGCAGTGTGGGAACTTTATGAATGTATGTAATTGTGTGTGTGCTCTTGTTTTAAGTAACTAGAAATCTGAAAAATTGAATTTTTGGACTGTTTGTTACTGCAGCTTTAGTTACATCAATTCTGTAGAATTAATGACCTAGGCAAGTTTAATTTTTAAACACAGAGGTAGATCTTGTTACATATGTTCATGCATTCCAGTTAACATATTTAAATGTACAGAAATTCTCTCCTCTCCAGCTCTTTTCCTTTCAGTGCTTTTGCTGAGACCCAGCTAATATCATATTTGTGTGATGCTTATATTTTGAGCAAACCACCAAGGTCTCTGCCTACACAAAAAGCCACCCGTCAGTGATTGTGTGTGGCCAATATGTGCCTTTGTACTCGTACCAACCTATTCTAGAGCTTGCACATCTACTGGAGCCACTGAGCCCTCATGGGCACTGGTGTCCTGCCTCCCACCATTCAGCTGCCATCCAGATTCCAGCAACAATATCTATCAGACATAACAGTTTTGAGCCTTTCTTGCCACGTGGTTGCCTAGGGCCTAGAAAGTAGATTCTTGATAAGGAAGGACAAGGAAGAGAAAGAAAAGCGTATAGGTGTCTGATGCAGATCCAGACCTGCATCCATCTGTTCTCAGTCTAAAGATGATTCCTTCCCCAGACTCTGTGCTTGCTTTATAGATTCCTAATGCACTGGCCCTCAGAGCACACCCTTGAAGCTGCTGCCCTAGCCAAGGGCAGATCCTCTGCTTACCCAGTTAAAGTGGGAGGAATGGCACCCATTTTTCACAGATATCCCTGTTATCATTCTGTGATTTCCTCTAGTGCTAACGAAAACAAAATACTCCTGTGCCACCATGTGCCTATAAGCAGCCCAAGATCCTTTTCTTTCTCTGCTGTTACCTCTGGAAGAGTCATCTCTCTCTCAACACAGCACTGGACACAGTTATACAAGAACTCACTTATACAAGTTTGCAAAGTGAGCACAGCTAGGTTATTGCAGATGGTTTATTTGGGAGCTTCTGTCAAAATGGGAAGCTTTAAGAACTAGTATGTCCCCTTCCTTTAAACCTGGGTATGAGCCCACCTGAGTACGAGCCCAAGATGTTTAAAACATGCTGATTGTTGGAGCATAAATTTGAAAGTTTTTAAGAAAATATTTGTATTAGGGAAGCACAGGCCAAGGGATTAACACTCCCTGATGTGACAGAGGTTTGCCCACTGTAACAGGAAAACCCAAGGAACAGAGCCCAAAGCAGACAGGCAGTGACTTCATCAGGAGACGAAGATAATGTCATAAACCAAAATGATACAGATCGGGTCCTGACAGCGTCACCCACAAATGCTTGCTTTGCTCACCTTACCTAAGCAGCTGTGGGAATGGATGGCTGCACAGCTGGACTTACCTGCCTGCCCTCCCTGCCTGCCCTCCCGCCAACTTCTCAGTCCTGTGCTACTTTCCAAAAGAAGGGAACTGAAAATAAATCTACAGCTCAGGCTTCTCACCCCTGGGCCTCTGTCGCCCCAACAACCCTTGGACTGGGTTTCCTTTGTTCATTTACAGACCTGGAATAAGGACTTTCCTTTTCTTCCTTCCTTCCTTCCTTCTTTTTTTTTAAAATTATATTCTTACTGATTTCAGAGAGAGGAAGGGAGAGGGAAAGAGAGATAGAAACATCAATGATGAGAGAATCATCATTGATTGGCTGCCTCCTGCACGCACACTGGGGTGGGGATTGGGCCCCCAACCCAAGCATGTACCCTGAATGGGAATCAAACTTCAATCTCCTGGATCAATCACTGAGCCACGCTGGCTAGGCTCCTTTTCTTTCGAAAAGTCATCTCCTATGGTCTTCAACGTTTTAGCTAAATGTAGGCAGCTTGTATGTGTAGCAGCATACGTGGACGTGAAGCAGACTCCTTCCAGTTAGATTCCAATCAAGCTGTGCAGGTGTTGCAAGTAGGTAGAATGGCCATTGTGGAGTTCTGGTGATTTTTAGTCCCCAGTCCAGATATATTGTCCTTCGGGTCCCAGGTTAACCACCGCAGCTAAACATTTGAATCAGGCTATCGGAACCACCACGAGATGACATAGTGAACATCTCAGAGCAAATATCCAGGATCTGTGACCAGATAATCACTCACAGTGCAGGCATCTCATCCATTCTTTGCCACACCACAGAAATGCCCCTCATTTCCCTCCATGCCTAAGTATAATAAATACTTCATCTATAGACCAGGCTCTCCTATAATGAAAACCTTAATTTTAAAAAATCTTTCAAATGTTCCACTGGAATTTTTCTCCCTGAATTGAATAGATGAGGTCGAGTCATTAACAATACCATCTAAATGAAGAAAGCATATCTAGACACCCTCTGCCATGTACTTTTATGTGTCTATTTCAGGAATTGCCATTTCCCCCATAATCAGGAAGCAGACTACGGAGTAAAAATTCTTCTCTTCCCATAGTCATAACATCCAAGTTAGGAAGGCACATCTGATGGAGACTCCAAGTTCTCTGGGTGGGTCTTCTTTCTAAGCATTATTATTTTCTCATTAATTTTTATAAGGTCAGAAAGAGAAAACTCCTAACATAGACATTATATCTTAATTGAGATTAAGATCCTTAAAGCAGCCCTGGCCAGGTGGCTTGGTTGGAACATCATCTGGCACACCAAACAAATGGGTTTCCGTTTTATACCCAGTCAGGGCACGTGCCTAGATAGTAGGTTTGATCCTCGATCGGGGTACGTACAGGAGACAACCGATCAATGTTTCTCACATTGATGTTTCTCTCTCCCCCTCCCTCCCCTCCTCCCTCCATCCCTCCCTCCCTCTCTAGAAGTCAATAAAAACATATCCTCGGGTGAGGATTTAAAAAAAAATAAAAATCCATGAAACAAGTTAAATCCTCTGATAAAGATATTATAGTAAATTAAATAGAAAAATTGGGCTTGTTATATTTTTAAAAACATACATAATCAATAACCTCTTCAGCTTTCTTAATAATAGATTGCAAATATGATGCGTGAGATCTGCCTCTCCCTCTCCTGTGCCATGTCAGAGATCCCAAGTAAAGCATAGTGACTGTCACATCAGTCCAGCTATGACCTCAGTCCTTTGTAACAGTGTTTCCAACAACTGCTACCAATAAAACAGAGTCAGACCCTATCTGGCATACCTCAGCTGGCATGTAAAAGATGGTAATGTAACTTATTTGTTAAAGTATATTAGAAACTAAGTGATGGCCCAGGATGGTAACAGCGTAAAGGACCATGTTTGGAAGACGTTTTTGTGGTTAATTTAAATATATATATATTTATTTATTTATATTAATTTAAATATATATATATATATTTTAAAGCTGTTTCATTTTAATATGTTTTTATTGACTTTAAAAAGAAAGGGAGAGAGAGAGAGAAACATCAAAGGGAGAAACATGGATCAGCTGCCTCCTCCTGGGGATTGAGCCTATAACCTGGGCGTGTGCCCTGACCAGGAATTGAACCGGTGACCTCTTGGTTCATGTGCTGACATTCAACCACTGAGTGGGCAACACCGAGTGGGCAGGTTAATTTTTTAAATTTAAGCTCTTAGGGTTAAGTTTTAAGCCTGGGCAAATAAACTTCAAGCTAAGAGTGTTCAGTGCTCTTAGTAAAATGAGGGGAATACACCATAAAACCCAGTGTTAGAGCAGAATTTCATTATCATGAAGCACGTGGTTCCCCCTGGCTGCTCTTCTGACCTCTGCCTCTGTGTCACGGAAGAGTTTGGGGTGAGCATCAGTGTTGTTCGGATAGGGGGTTCCCATGAAATCAAGGCCCCTTGGGGTGTGCTCATGAGGATCTAAGAGAACTGTAATCTCTGTTAGCATTTCTTAATGCTTTGTATGACTTTTGTGCAATTATATACATTCGATTTGGATAAAACGCTGTTACTTTTCTGGTCCTTTCCACTGAAAATTGTTATGTCATTCCCCAACAAGGGAAAAGCATTTGTTACTGTCATTTTAAAAATAAATAATAAAACAAAAGTGTATGGCACATGTGTGTTATTTTCAAATCTAGAGTTTACAGCTTTAACTTTGAGGACATTTTGATTTACAAAATATTTTATTTTACAGAGTGTTCATTGACTGCTGTCACAAAACCATGATCGCAAACTTGAGATGACCTTACTAGTCACAGATGGGAAAAAACCAGTGGGTTAGATCCAGCCCATTAAAAGATTGATTCAAGGACCTAATGTGCAATAAATAACATGGTGACTATAGTTGATAACACTGTATTAGATAATTGAAATTTGTTAATAAGAGAGTAGAACTTAAAATGTTTTCCCAAAAAGAAAAGATAATTATGTGAGTTGACTAAGGGTGTTAATTGACTAGATGAGGGACATCCTTTAACAATATCTTAAAATTTTGTCAATTATACCTCAAGAAAGCTGGGGACAAAAATGATTTACTCTCCACAAAATGGACCGACCCATAGGTCTCCAGGCAGCCCCAGTAGCACTGAAGACTAAACTATAGCCATGAGCATTTTATAAAGGATGTGTTTGCGGGGAGGTAGGACCAGTGTGCGAGGTTGTAAATGTGAACTTTCTCAGAGAGCCACGTAGATGTGTAGCCATCTCCTCGCTAGGAGCCCTCGTGAACATCCGGGCGCTCAAAGGCCTGCTTGCCAACGTTTTTCACCCCCGGCACACACACAAGATATTTTTGTGCAGCACAGGGGAATACACTTAGGGGAATTTGGGAATATATACAGGTGACAGATTCATTACATATCATATAACTAAGAAAATAGCATACAGTGTTTTATAGAAAAATTTTCATTTGTGTAACACTTCCAAAAAATAATTTTTAAAATGTCGATAAATGACTGACTGACTTTTGGGAACATGACTTTTTTGATAACAGGCTGAAACACCTACACACAATTCCTGATCCAGACTTTTTAGTAATAATGTCTTCAGTTTTTCATAAAAAGCATCAACAGGAAACTTGTTTGCACAAGTAGGTGACAAAAATCTTAGAACTTTGAATTTTTATGATCATTCAAAATTTTATAATTGAACTGATGAATATATAAACAATGTGGTATATCCACACAATGAAATATTATTCAGCCATCAAAGGGAATGAAGTACTTACACATACTACAGCATGGATGAACCTTGGAAACACTAAGCCTAGTGAAAGCAGCCAGACACGAGAGGTACATATTGTACGATTCCACTTCCATAAATGTCCAGAACAGGCAAATCCATAGAGACAGGAAGCAGATGAGTAGTCGCAGGGGCCCAGGGTGGGGTCTGGAGAGTGAGTGCCGACAGGTACAAAGTCCCTTCTGTAGGTGATGAAAACTGTCTGGAGTTAGTGGTGGTAGCTTCACAACTCTGTGAATATACTAAAATCCACTGAATTGTCTATATTAAAGGGAATGTTATGGTATCTGAATTAAATCTTAAAAATTTACAATTGATATTAAATTTAAAAAATCTAATAACTTATTTTCACAGACAAAATGTAATATGAAATTTCTTATAATGTAGATTTCCAATCAAATTGAAATCATTTGCA